GGAGGTGTCTCTCCTCACACCTGGGGAGATTCCGGTCCTCCCTGCAAGAAATCTCGGAAGGAGAAGCAAACAGGAGCAGGGCCATTAGGAAATAGGTAACGACAAAGAGGAGGAAGAGGGAAGCCAAGGAGGGATTGCAGGGGGCTTTCTGAGAGTACTGTGGAACTGAGTCTGCTGGGGGAGACTGGACACTCCCCCTCCAGCCTCAGGCTCCCCATACACCTGCACACATTTATGTTTCTGTCCCTAGTTATGTGGAAAGGCAAAGGGCAGGGCATGAGAAGAATGGCAAGAAGATATGTGCCCTGCCCAGCCCACCTTCCCCCTTGGCTTCCATGGCCCCAGTTGCTGATTCCTCCACGAGGGTGGACTCTCCTAGCCATGGCCTGGTGACCAGCTCCCTCTGTAGCCCATCTCCAGCCCGGTTGTCTCAAACCCCCCACTCACAACCCACCCGGCCAGGTACTTACAAGGTAAGAGGGGAGGCTACTTTTCCTGATTTCATTCTCTTTTGTTGTCTGTTCAGTTTCAGGCGCTCTGTCTGAATATTGCACCCACCACACCCGTTCTCTTTTTTTTCCCACCCCAATTTTTAATCTCCAGAGGCCTTCCCTCTGCTTCTCCTCCTCCTCTATTCCAGACCTCTCTGACTCTGTCTCTCACTCCCCTGCAGATGAGTGTGGCCACACAGTGCGATCCAGAGGAGATCATCGTGCTCTCGGACTCGGATTAGCTGCCTCCCCCTGCTCCCTGCCTCCAGAATGTTTTGGGGAGAGTATTTGGAGGATGGTGGGAAGCAGATGACCGAGGAAGGGATGAACTGAGCTAATCCCCTTTTGGTGGTTTCTTTTAAAATAAAATTTTAAAAAGCTTAAGTTTTACACAGAAACATTAATAAACAATAAAGTTCTTTTCCTATTGTATCTCTGTCTGTCCCTTGTTCTTCGGCTCTCACTGATTGGCACCACTGCTCTCTGGCTCCAGGTTAGCCCGCCTTCTGGTAGCCCTGGACCTGTCCTTCTAGCCTGCCCTTAGCATGCCCCTCTCTCCGAGTATCCTCGCTCTCGGGACTTCCCCTTGCCCTCTCCCAGGCATTAAAAAAATTGTGCTTCAGCCTCCTGGACTCGCTTTACTTTCTCACTTGGAGCGGTAGGAGTAAAAAAGCCAATCAGGGGCAGACTCAAGGTTATTTGGCCAATCCAGGCCCGGAGGAAGGGGGCGGGATTTCAGGGGGACTGTCAGAAGCTGGGAGACCAGGGCGATTAGATCCCGCAAACCCGCTAATGGACACAGCTCAGGGGCGGAGCCTAGGCAGCGGTGGCCATGACCCATCGCCAATGGGAAGAGGCAAGTTTACAGAATTAAAGGGGAATGAGTGCTTCGGCGAAACCAAATCCTGAGTCCTCAGCGGCGGAAGGGACCTGGTAACTTTAAGGTGGAACGCGGCCACTGTACTTTAAAGGAGAAGTGGCCGAGTCGGCCGAGTATTGCCCAGCGGCACGGGCGGGGTGCCCGCCTGTGCCTTTAAAGCCGGAGGGGCGGGAGGCGGAGCGGAGGCGGAGGGCGGAGGGAGTCGGCGCAAGATGGCGGCGGGAGGGGCCCAGGCTGCGGCTCTGGCCGCCAAGTGAGGGGAGGGGGGGCCCGGGGGCGCGCGGCTCGGTAAGCGGGGACGCGCGGAGTTGGGGGTCACCTTCCGGGTGGGAGAGGAGGTCAAAGTAGCGCTTGGGGCGGAGCAGAGGGGGGCGGGGTCCGGTGTGGGCGGGGGTAGACAAGGGGCGGAGCCGAAGGGGCCAAGAGGCGGGTCTTGAAGGGGCGGGGCTGGAGGTAGGTGGGGGTAAAGGGGCGTGGCCTGCGAAAGAGCCGGGGGTGGTATAGCCTAAATGGAAACGGAGAGAGGGATAGTTTTCAGTACAGGAACAGACTTTTCCCTCTCCTAAGAAAAGAGTACCAAACACCAAAAAGGTAAATTTTAGAAAGTCCGGCTCAGGCAAATGGGAAATTTCAAGGGGAGGTATCCCCCTCCCCAAGAGCACCTTATTTCTCTAACCTCCAAGGAAAGAGCACTGGATTTGGAGTCAATACACCTGTGTTGGTGCTGCCGTTTACTGGCTGTGTGACCTTGGATAATCTCTTAATCCTTTTGACCCTCAGTTTCCTCATCTGTCAAATGGGGTTTCGAGGAATACCTACCTCACAGTGTGGTTGTGGGGAGTTACTCAGATAGCCGGTGAAACATGTCTGTAAACTGTAAAGGGCTATGACATTATGAGATACTATCATTCTTCTCTCTTTTTCTTCCCAGAGACCCCCCCGGCCGCCCTCCTCCTTCCCTTGTTCCTGTGGCTGGGGGGGGTACCCCCTCCCTCCACACCATGGAGCCATCTCCTCTGTCTCCCAGCGGTGCAGCACTCCCCCTGCCTCTGTCGCTGGCCGCACCCCCACTGCCCCTGCCTGCAGCTGCGGTGGTGCACGTATCCTTCCCTGAGGTGACCAGTGCCCTGCTGGAGTCCCTCAATCAGCAGCGGCTGCAGGGCCAGCTCTGTGATGTCTCCATCCGGGTGCAGGGACGAGAGTTCAGGGCTCATCGTGCTGTCCTGGCTGCCTCCTCCCCTTACTTCCATGACCAGGTCCTACTCAAGGGCATGACCTCCATCTCACTGCCCAGCGTCATGGACCCAGGCGCTTTCGAGACTGTCTTGGCTTCGGCTTACACTGGCCGCCTCAGCATGGCTGCTGCTGACATTGTCAACTTCCTCACAGTGGGATCTGTGCTCCAGATGTGGCACATCGTGGATAAGTGCACTGAACTCCTCCGAGAAGGCCGGGCCTCGGCCACCACCGCCGCCACCACCACTGCTGCAGCCTCCTCAGTCACTGTCCCTGGTGCTGGGGTCCCGTTAGGGAGTGGGGGCACCGTGGCCCCTGCCGCCATGGGCTCTATGCGCTCCCATGCCTCCAGTCGGGCCAGTGAGAATCAGTCCCCCAGCAGCAGCAACTATTTCAGCCCCCGGGAGTCCACTGATTTCTCATCTCCCTCCCAAGAGGCATTTGCAGCTCCTGCAGTGGGCAGCGGGGAGCGTCGAGGAGGCGGCCCTGTATTCCCAGCCCCTGTGGTTGGCAGTGGGGGGGCTACTTCTGGGAAGCTGCTGCTGGAGGCAGATGAGCTTTGTGATGACGGTGGGGATGGGAGGGGTGCAGTGGTCCCTGGGGCTGGGCTCCGGCGATCCACCTATGCACCCCCCAGCATCGTGCCGCAGAAACACTGGGTATATGTGAAGCGAGGTGGGAACTGCCCAGCATCAGCGCCCCTGGTTCCCCAAGACCCAGATCTGGAAGAGGAGGAGGAGGAGGAAGACCTGGTGTTGACGTGTGAGGATGATGAAGATGAAGAGCTGGGGGGTGGCTCTGGGGTTCCAGCAGGGGGAAGACCTGAGACTACCCTTAGCATAAGTGATGTCCGGACCCTGACTGAACCTCCGGACAAGGGAGAGGAGCAGGTCAATTTCTGTGAGTCCTCCAATGACTTTGGCCCCTATGATGGTGGGGGTCCTGGGGCAGGGCTTGATGATTCAGGGGGGCCAACCCCTTCCTCCTATGCCCCCTCCCACCCTCCGAGGCCCCTGCTTCCCCTGGATGTGCAGGGCAACCAGATCCTAGTCTTCCCATCGTCCTCCTCCTCCTCCTCACAGGCTTCAGGCCAGCCACCAGGGAACCAAGCTGAACACGGGGCAGTGACCCTGGGGGGCACATCGGCAGGGGGCCTGGGGGTGCCAGGTGGCGCTGGAGGGACCCCTGGAGGGACAGGCGGCGGGGATGGGAATAAGATCTTTCTGTGCCACTGCGGGAAGGCCTTCTCCCACAAGAGCATGCGCGATCGGCATGTGAACATGCATCTCAACCTGCGGCCCTTTGACTGCCCCGTGTGCAACAAAAAGTTCAAGATGAAGCACCACCTGACCGAGCACATGAAGACGCACACAGGCCTCAAGCCCTACGAGTGCGGCGTCTGCGCCAAGAAGTTCATGTGGCGCGATAGCTTCATGCGCCACCGGGGACACTGTGAGCGCAGGCACCGCCTGGGCGGGGGCGGGGGCGGGGCCGGGCCGGGACCCGGCGCGCCCACGGGGCCAGCCTTGCCGCCCAAGAGAGAGTCCCCCGGGGTGGGCGGGGGCAGCGGCGACGAGGCTAGTGGGGCCACGCCCCCGTCTAGCCGACGGGTCTGGTCCCCACTCAGCGTCCACAAGGTGGAGATGGGCTTCAGTGGGGGCGGAGGAGCAAACTGAAGGGACAGGCTGCTTGGGAGTAGCTTTCGGGGAAGAGGGAATAGAGATCACGAGCCAGGGGTTACTGTGGCCCCCAGGCGATGTCCCACCACACTTACTGTCTTCCTTATCTCTATGGACTTGTATATATTCTGCAGGGGGAACCATGTTGCACCATCGGCCACCCATTCCACGTGTCAGCCCCTCCCCCCCCAAAGTATCCCCGGAACTAAGCCCTCTCTTCGCTTCAGATGGGTACGCTGAAGCCCCAGCTCCAGAGTAGGGCTCATATGGTTGGGGAGGAGGCGGGAGAGGGGGCCTGTTGAGCATCGTGGAGTCACAGGGTCAGGGGTCAGGTGGTTATAGTCTGTAGCTGAAGTCTGTGTTTGTGTTGTCGTGGGGACCACGCCTTTGAGACCCACCCTTGTCCTAGGACCCACCCCGTCCCCCGAAGGATGTGCCCCTTATTTCTACCCTAATCCCAACCCTCCCCCCACCTTGGGGTCCCCCAACTCGATTTTCATCGGGGAGGGAGTGGAGACAAGGAGGAGGTCGTAGGAGTACAAGCTTTTTATTTTAAATCTTATTTTTTTTAAACCACCATTAAAATATTTATTGGTCATTTCACTTGGCTTCCCGACAACCCCTATGTGTTTGCTGGGAAACTGGCAGAGGTCGGGGAAGGCGGAGTAGTGGTTCTTCGCAAAGTGGATTCTGGGGGGAAATGATCGGGGGCGGGGCCTATGGTTGGGGAGGGCTCTGGGACTGGGCAGTGCTGGGTGGTCCAGGAGGGCGGGGCGGGGCTGAGGTCCCAGACCTGAACTGAAGAGAATGTTCCGGGATCCCTGCCCCGCCAGTGGGGGAAACACCTGCCGCCCACGTGCCCTCACCTAACCGGAGCGGGGGTTGCCTCCGCCCCTCCTGATGGCCTTGAGAGTAAAGAGAAAGTGAAAGGGGAAGAGCAGGCTTCCGGGCTGAGGAGATCGCGGCGCCATGAAGCCCTTGTCCTTTCTCCTCGCTGTGGTTTTGGGTGAGCGAACCCCCGGAGTCTGCCCAGGAACGAGGGGGAAGCGGAGGGAGGTGACCCTGCCACGCGCCTGCCGCCGGGGGGTGGGGGTCGGGTCATCTGACATCTGGGCCGCCCCCTCACTCGCGCCGCTCTCCCCCAGGCTTGGCGACCGCCGTCTCGGCCGGACCTGCGGTGATAGAGTGCTGGTTCGTGGAGGATGCGGGCGGGGGCCGCCTGGCCAAGAAACCCGCTGCACTGCTGCTGCGCCAGGGCCCGGGGGGACCACCTCCCCGGCCGGACCTCGACCCGCAGCTCTACCTCAAAGTGCATGGTGAGTCATCCCGGACTCGCTCCCACCTCTGTCGCCTGCACCGAAAACCCTCCTCTTTAGGTCGCACAGTGCCCTCGGGCTTCAGTTTCCCCCTCTGCAAAATGAGTCTGGTTACCTCCAAATTTCTCACTACCAAGTAGTCTGTGCATTTGAAATTCCCTGGACGCTGCCCTCACCGCGCCTGGCGGTGACTCTAGAGCTCAACTCTCTTCTCTCACAGACCCGGCGGGCGCTCTCCAGGCCGCCTTCAGGCGGTACCCCCCGGACGCCCCCGCGCCACACTGCGAGATGAGCCGCTATGTGCTGCTCCCCGCCTCGGCGAATTGGGCCAGCGGCTTGACCCCGGAGCAGAACTGCCCGCGGGCTCTGGACGGGACTTGGCTCATGGTCAGCGTGTCCAGCCAGGTCCTCAGCCTCTCCGGCCTCCTGCGACCACAGTCCGAGCCTCAGCCCGAGCCCGCTCTCATCACCACGGCAACAGGTAGCTGGGGAGGGGAAATGGAGCGAATGGGTAAATTCTAAGGGTCCAGATCAGCTGGTGACTCGCTATGTGGACTTGAGCCAGTCATTTCCCACATCAAGTCTCAGTTTCCTTACTTATAAAGCGAGGCGGTTCGGCAGGAATTAAACAATCTATCTCTACCGCTTCTTCTAGCCCCGCCCAGTAAAAAATCCCCCAAAATCAAAGAAAACCGAAACCCTGCCGCTTGGGGACGGGGCTTCGTGGTCGGTAGGGCGGAGCTTTGGAGCGAGGCGGGGTTTCCGGACACCGGACCTTAAGAAACTTTTTAGGCGGCGCGGTTGGGAGGGGCTCAGAAGCAGGAACTTTTTTCTCCTCTCCTCCCAGATCTGTAGGGACCCACACCTTTGTGGTTCACCCTGTTTCAAAAACCAGTCTTCGAGCCCCACCGGGTCCACATCCATCGCTGCAGCAGTCAGCAAGGAAAGGCTCTTGCGCTCGAGCGCGTTCACTTCCCTGACAGCCCCTTCCCTATGGCGCGTGGGGATGCGCTGATTCTGTGGTCACCAAGCGGTGGGCTCGGGTGGGCGGAAGGGACATGGCAGGAGACCTGATAGTCCTCACTGCAAGGATCCCTGATTGCATCGTGCAACGCTGTCTGAGGCCCAGCGGTCGGGCACTTGGCTGGGCTGGGGCGCGGAGAGGGAGTGGGCAGAAAAAGCAAGAATGGGGAAGATCTGATTGGGATATCTAGCAGCTCTCCCTTTTCGCAGCGGAGTGTGGGTAGGATGTCAGTCGGTAGAGTCCTCGGCTTTCCTCAGTCTTGTGCGATTTTATGCGGGCGGGGGCCGCCTGGCCAAGAAAGTCCACAGCCGGACTGGCCGGTCAATCCCAGCCGAGCCCTGCACCCTCCCTTCCCCAGTACCTCCTCCCTGCCACTCTCCTCACTGTCAGACAATCACCCACAGGACCAGGGAAACCGATTCAGCACCCACCCCGCAATCTTCACCTCTGCCTACACCTCCATTCTTAGTTCCCAGACCCCACCCTGGGCAGGGGCAGAGGCAAACTGCTGCTCGTGGGGACAGTAGCTCTCTCCAGTGAGGAGGAGTATTTTCCAGGGCTGCTGGCTTCACCGAGGTGGGGGGTGAAAGTGTCCTTTTCTCTCTGAGTCTGTTTTTCCAAATGTAAAATGTAGATGCTATTTCCAATCTGCCTTACCCTTGTTGTGACTATCATGGGAGGCACTTTGTTAATTTATTCACTGATTCAATAAATATTTATTAGCACCCAGAATAAATTAGGGCCGAGTAGTTCTCAGTCCAGGCTGCAAATAAGAATCTTCTTGAAGTTTCTAAAATATACTGAAACCTGGGTCCCACTCCAAGGGAATTAAATGAGAATCTCTTGGTGGCCCTGGGCACTTTTAAGGGTCACAAAGGTGATCAGATGTAGATTCTGCTCTCTAGAAGGTTCTAGGCAGATTTGTCAGAGGTAATTGTTATGTAGATTAGAAAGTGACTTGGGCCTTGAAAGAAGTGCAGATAGGAAACCATGGGAGTGCCCAGGGGGGGAAATTATCTACGTCTCACAGACCACTGGGGGTAAAAACTCACTGCTGTGCTCAGTCTTCCTTTTCAAGCATTTCTGCTTGATTAGGGACTGAAGAAAATGAAAGTTGTTGTTTTAATGTAAAATTAAAAATGGAATCTTTCCAGGGTCAGATCATTGGTAATCTTGCTAATATACATTTATACATTATTTCTTATCAAATACTTTCAAATGTTTGTTAACAAATTTACTTTGTTAACATACTTTGTGTGTATGGTATTTAATTCTCATCATTATTTTAAAACATTGTTATGGGAAATTTCAGATACACAAAAGTAGAGAGAATCATATAATGAACTCCCATGTACCCATCACCCATGGTATAGTTATTACATTTTACCAAATTGTTTTACCTACTCTCCCCCCACCTTCTTTTCTCTTTTCGAAGTGTTTTAAAGTATATCCCAGGCATCATATTCTTTTACTCATAAGTACTTCAGTAGGCATCTCTATTAAATAAGGACTATTAAAAAAATACAACCACAAAGCCATTATCATACCTAACAAAACAAACAATAATTCCTTAATATCATTTAATTCCTAGCCTATATTAAAATTTTTCCAATTGTCTCAATGATGTTATTTTACAATTGATTTGCTCGAATCAGGATCAAAAACTGGTTCATATATTATATTTGGTTTCTGTATCTGCTCAGGCTGCCATAACAAAATATCATAGACTGGTGGCTTAAATAATAGGGATTTATTTTCTCAGAGTTCTGGAGGCTAGAAGTCTAAGATCAAGTCCAAGATCAAGGTGCCAGCAGGGTTGGTGTCTGGTGAGAGCTCTCCCATTGTGGTTGCAGATGGCTGCCTGACTGTGTCCTCACCTGGAGGAGAGCTAGTGAGCTCTGGTGTTTCTTCCTCTTCTTGTAAGCGCACAGTGCTATCAGATTAGGGCTTTACCTTATGACCTCATTTAACCTTTATCACCTTCTCACTGCCCCTGTCTCCAAATATAGTCACATTGGGGTTAAGGCTTCAGCATATGCATTTCGGTGGAGTGGGGGTGGGGCACAGTCCATAACAGTTTCGGCTCTTAAGTCTCTTTTATTTTATAATTGCCCCTTTCTGTTTTGCCATTGATTAGTCGCTTGTTCTGTAGAATTTCCCACATTCTGTATTTAGCCAATTGTTTCCTCATAGTGTCAGTGTCATTTCCCTTGTTCCTTTTTCCTCCATATTTCCTACAAATTGGTAGTTAGATCTAGAGGCTTGATTAGATTTGGATTTAAATTTTTTTCAGTAATATTTTTTAATAGTTGTTACCATCCACTTTTTTAACAGAAAAGTAAAAACCTATATAACACAAGCAGCAAAAACAAGTAGAAATTCCTTACTGTTCTGGCCCCGTTGTATTTACATTTGTGTTTTTACAGAGTCCAGTTTGTGGGATGTAGGTCTAAAACTGCTTCAATAACCCATATTAAAGAGCACTGTTAGCTTAGGGGTTAAACTGTAAACCTTTAGGTTTTGTTTATTAATCCTGTGGATTGCTTTTAACAATTCAAAGGTATGTTTCTGGATTTTGATAAACTAAATGAAATTGCCTCCTTTTTTTTCTCTACTGAATGAAAACAATCCCATTAGTTTGAGAGAAGTTTAACCTTGTAGGCCTCAGAAGCTAGTCTTAAAAATTACATAAAGATAATCATAAGAGAAAAAAGATTACTTCTGGGCCGGCCCCGTGGCTTAGCGGTTAGGTGCACGCACTCCGCTGCTGGCGGCCCGGGTTCGGATCCCGGGCGCACACAGATGCGCCGCTTCTCTGGCCATGCTGAGGCCACGTCCCACATACAGCAACTAGAAGGATGGGCAACTATGACGTACAACTATCTACTGGGGCTTTGAGGGAAAATAAATAAATAAATAAAATTATTAAAAAAAAAAAAAAAGATTACTTCTACCTGGAGGACCTAGACATTTCTGGGAGGAAGTAGCTTGAGGGACATGGAGTATCTAGATGTTTGGGAGAAAATGGGGAGGGACATTGTAAACTCGAAGGAACATTATGACCAAAGCAAAGAAATGCCCAATTATTAGAGTTTCTACTAGTTACAAGAAAGGGATTCTATGTGGCTGCTTTTTAGGGTGCAAGAAAAGTCTGGGAAGGTGGGTTGGGGGCTAGATTTCAAGTACCCTGTAAGCTGGGCTTCATAGGTGATAGCGAAGTGTGTGTGTGTATGTGTGTGTGTGTGTTTGCCAAAAGCCTATTACTTTACTTGATTCTTACAAAAGATAGGCAAGGATCAGATCATTGGACTAGTGAGGAAAATACAGATTAAATGATTTTCCCAAGATACCCAGCAAGTCCATGATGATGATGATGATGATAGTAATGAAAATAGTTACAGCTAACATTTATCAAGCATTTTCCATATGCCAGGTCCTGTTCTAAGCACTTAATAGGCATAATCTCATTTATTCCTCTCAATAACCATAGGAACTATGGTTACCTATGGTTATTAGGTATTATTATGGAACCACAGGTACTGATATTATCCCCAGGTCACAGAGCACTGAGACACAGAGCAGTTAGGTAACTTGCCTAAGGACACACAGCTTGTAAGAAGCAGGGCTAGGAATTGAACCCTGTCCATCTAGCCCCAGCCTGTGCCTTTAGTTGCTGGCTTCCTGGGTAGCTGGGGTTTTTAAACAGGCAGTGACCAGATCAGACTTGTAGCCACACTGTTTGGCTACAGTGTGGAGGATGAATTGAAGGAGAGAGAGACTAAGGATAGGGAGACTAGAGAGGAGACTGTTGTAATTGTCCAAATGTATGTTGATGAGAATTTGAGTTGGGAACAGATGTGGGATCTATTTGAGAGACAGAATTAGGGCCTGGTGGGGACAGCACATAGCACATTATATTCGGCGATTTGCTCGTCTGTCTCCCTTATTAGACTGTAAGCAATTTGAGGGCAAGGACTACCCATCTTATTCACCACTCTGTCCTTTACCTTGAACATCCTAGGTGCTCAATAAACATTAGTGGGATGAATGAATTAGAGGAAGGAGTCTGAGTGACTCCCAAGTGTTTGCCTTTAGTGTCTGGGGGGCTGGTGGTGATCATTCATCAGGCCAGGGAAGACGGGCATCAGAGCAGGGTGGCAGAATGCTGCAGAGACGCTGTTGAGTTGGGGTGTGTTAAGTTTGTCTGGCAAACAGTTAAGTGTAATCACAGCAAACATTTTGTAGACTTACTGTGTTCCAGGCACTGTTCTAAGCATCTTTCATATACAGGTGTCTTTGTTATCCAGAATCAGGAATTGAATAAATCTGCATAGCAAGAAGTATTAAATGATTTAACCCCTCACTACGACTCCATGAAATAGGTACTATTATCATCATTATTATCCCTATTTAGGAGATTGGGAAGCTGAGCCATGGAAAAGTGAAGGAACTGGCCTGAGACCATATAAATAGCTGCAGAGTTGGGATTAGCCAGGGCAGCCAGGGTCCAGCCACTAACCAGCGTACACTGCCTCAGTAGAGCATAGAGGTCTGTGTTCAGGTTTAGGCTAGAGCCAGAACCTTCCAAAGTCAGTGAGTACTCTGTACAGCACCATAGGAGTGACCATCATGAGTCATCACTGTCTTCACCAGCAAACCAAGAAAGGCCTGGCTCTTCAAGAGTGGTGCATGGAGGGCTGGCCCCGTGGCTTAGCGGTTAAGTGCTCTCGCTCCGCTGCTGGCGGCCCGGGTTCGGAACCCGGGGCGCGCACTGACGCACCCCTTCTCTGGCCATGCTGAGGCCGCGTCCCACATACAGCAACTAGAGGATGTGCAGCTATGACATACAACTATCTACTGGGGCTTTGGGGGGGGGGAAATAAATAAATAAAATTATTAAAAAAAAAAAAAAAAAGATTGGTGCATGGAGACTGGACTGGTTCAGGTTGTATCAGAAGTGCACTCGGATCCCGCTGTCCCCAGAGCTCCAGTGGGCTGTGTGTTCAGAGCAGCCTTCAAGGGCTATGCCCACTCACTGCCCCTATTCACCTCTAGACTTCTCTGCTCAGTCTCAGCCACACTGGGCCCCACCCAGTCCCAGAGCAAAGGGGATTTGCAGGAAGGGCTGGGAGATGGTGAGTATCAGAAAAGGAGGTGTCCTCTGAGGGGTGGGGAGTTGAGTCCTCCCTATAACTCCATTTCTCTCTTTTTTCTCCTTCTTTCTCTCCCTCATGCCCCTCCCACTCCCTCGTCTCCCCATTTTCCCCAGCTGTGCTGACTGTCCTCACCCACACCCCCACCCCTCGAATCCGACTGGGACAAGATGCTCTGCTGGACTTGAGCTTTGCCTACCTGCCCCCCACCCTCGAGGCCGCTACATCTCTGTCCCCAGGTCCCCCTCCCTTTGGGCTGGAGTGGCGACGCCAGCACCTGGGTAAGGGGCACCTGGTCCTGGCTGCAACTCCTGGGCTAGGTGGGCAAATGCCAGCTGCCCAAGAAGGGGCAGTGGCATTTGCTGCTTGGGATGATGATGAGCCGTGGGGTCCATGGACTGGAAACGGGACCCTCTGGCTGCCTGCAGTGCGGCCCTTCCAGGAGGGCACCTATCTGGCCACCGTACACCTGCCATACCTGCAAGGGCAGGTCACCCTGGAGCTTGCTGTACAGAGTGAGTAAGGGGACAGGGGTCCCCATGGGTAGAGGGTAGGCACTGGGATTATGGGGACATCATGATAGGAGGAGGGATGGTGGAGAAGAGAGTGCGGGGTGAGTGGGGGGAGATAGATTGGGGTCCCTAAGAGTCAGAGGGGCAATGGGTAGAGGGTCCCTGAGAATCTGAGGGGCTTTGGGATGAAGGTTTCCAAATCTGAGGGAATAGGGGTCCCTGAGAATGGGGGGTTTGGCATGGGGATTCCTGTGAAGCACCAGTGGGAAGACAGTATGTTCCCCATCCTGGAAGAAAAAACCCAAACCCCCCTCAGTTTTGGGGAAGCCAGAGGGCAAAGTGAGGGTCTCTGAGAAAGGACAATGTGGATTGAGTCCCCTCCATGCTCCTTTCCTACTCTCTCCAGAGCCCCCCAAAGTGTCCCTGATGCCAGCACCTCTTGTATGGGCTGCCCCCGGAGAGGTTCCCCCAGAGTTGCTCTGCCTGGTGTCCCACTTCTACCCCTCGGAAGGCCTGGAGGTGGAATGGGAGCTCCGGGGAGGCCCAGAGGGCGGTATTCAGAAGGCCAGGGGAGAGAAGTGGCTTTCTGCCCTGCGCCACCACTCAGACGGCTCTGTCAGCCTCTCCGGACACCTGCAGCCACCCCCGGTCACCGCCGAGCAGCATGGGGCACGCTACGCTTGCCGCGTCCACCACCCCAGCCTGCCCGCCTTGGGGCGCAGTGCTGAGGTTACCCTGGAGGTGGCAGGTAAGAGCCAGGAGGATGGAGAAGCCAGGGGCGGGCTCCCGGGAAGATACTACGGGACTCACTCTGGCCCCTTCGCCTGCCAGGTCTCTCCGGGCCCTCCCTGGAGGATGGCATAGGCCTCTTCTTGTCTGCCTTTCTCCTCCTGGGCCTCATCAAGGCACTGTGCTGGGCTGGTGAGTGTGAGCCCCACCCCGAACGGGACCGCGACTGGCAGACACTCCCTGCCTACTCCCAGAAGCCTGACACCCATCCCTCTGCCCTGCCACTCCCCCATCCCATCCCTTCTCAATCTCTCTCCACAGCTGCCTATTGGTCCACTTCCAAGGAGTCAAAGGAGAAGGTAACAGCACTCCACCTCCCCTTCCATTTCCCCTCTCATTTGATCCCCTTCCCCCTTGGAGGGAGGCCGCTGGTGTGGTGGGCAGAGCGCGGACTTGGAATTCACACAGACATGGGTTAAATCCTGCCACTACCATTCTAACTGTAGGACCCCTTGAACGTATTACGTAACCAACACCTCAGTTTCCTTGGGGGTGGGGATAAAAAAAATTACTTAGGCAGTGCTGTCCAACAGAAATATAATGCAAGCCACATATGTGAATTTAAATAATCTAAAAAGGTAAAAAGAAACAGGTAAAATTAATTTTAATACACTTTATTCCATCTAATATATCCAACATATTATCATTTCAACATGTAATCAATATAAGAAATTCATAGTCTTTTTTTCCATCTGAAGTCTTCAAAACCAGGTGTTTATTTTAAACTGTCAGCACACCTCAATTCAGACCAGCCACATTTCAAATGCTCAACAGACACACATGAGTGATGGCTACTGTATTGGACAGTTGGAGCCCAGGAGGGCTGTTGGAAGGGTTAAAGGAGACTTTGGAAGATGCAGGAGCAGAAGCACTCACTGCACAGTGTCTGCCAGGCAGAAAACACACGGAAAATGTGAGCCCCATTCTTCTGCCACCCTCTGTGCCCATGATGGTTCATTTATCTCTGGATTGACCATAAGCACTTCACCCTGCATTCTAAAACCCTGAATTCCTCACCTCTTTTTTACTTCTCTTCCAGAAAGCACAGTGAGCGCCCTCACCATCATCCAGCAGAAGCCACCATCATCTCTGGTCTGAGCTACGATAGTAGCTCCCCCAAATACTACACCATCATCTGCTCCTGCTCCCTCCAATCTCTCTCCACTGAGTGGCTGGAATCCTTTTTTAAAAGACACAAATCTATAGCGTGCACCTTCTTAGAGCTCTAGGGCAGTGGTTCTCAAAATTTTTAGTCTCAGGACCTCTTAAAAATTATCAAGAACTCTAAAGAGCATTTGCTCATGTGGGTTATAACTATAGATATTCAGCGTACTAGAACTTCAAACTGAGAAAAATTAAAACAAGAATACACAAGCACAAATTTCATTAGCTGTGAGAGCGATGTCAAAACACATGAGCTTCTGGAAAACTCTCCTGTACATTTTTTAAAGAATGAGAGTGAAGGGGCAAATAACATCTCAGTATTGTTACGAAAATAGTCTTAACCTCACATGTCCCGTGAAATAGGGACCTCCGAGTCAGGAACCACACTTGGAGAACCTGTGTTCTAGAGGTCAAATCCATTCTTCTTGCCCTGGCCTCCGGGCCGAGCCACTGCTTACCGCTTCAACTCCACCTGATGCCCTCCAGCCTTCTCAATGCTCATCACACCGACGGCTATGCCTTTCCTCCAGTGGCCTCCCGCCCTCGCGGGGCCCCAGCGCCCTGTTCCCTCTGCCTGGTCCACCCTCGCCCTCCCTGGGCTCCAGATCAGGTCAGCCTCGTCGTTCCCCTCAGACTGCCCCGTGTCCCTCTTGTGCGGCTCACCACGGTTGTACTTAAGTGATTGTGCCAGTCACTGTTAAATGCCTGTCTCCCCTCCCGGACTGTCGGCTCCTCGAAGCCCAGGACCATCCTGTCTCCTCCGCTGCTGTGAGCCCTGCGCCGCTCAGGGCCTGGCGCCCACTGGAGGGGCTCAATTTAAGTTATCGTCTTTTGCGTCTCGTCCTAAGTCTTCAATAAGAAGTGTTGGATCAAATAACTATCGGACGAAGGAAGCGGCAGTTCGGCTTAGGGTCCTCCGAGGGGCCGGACGGTCGCCCAGGGCAACGCGGGGAGCGGGTCTAATCGTGTGGGAATAAAGTTGTGTTCCAGTGCTTCTAATGTGTCTCATTCTATCCCGGGTTCCCCTGTCCAAGCGCAACGGCTCTTCCAGTCACCTCTGGTCCCTTCCAATTACCCCGACCTCTCAAACGCCTTGGCGACACCCAATCCCCCTTCGAAAAAGTTTGGGGTCGGGGGCCACCAATGGCGGACAGGACGCCCTCAATCAGCGGGCTCTGGGGGCGGGAGCGCGACCTCAGGAGAGCGGAGATCCCAGCCTGCAGCCGGAAACCCGGAGCCCAGACTCTGGAACCGGATGCGGCGGCTTCCTGCTCCGCCCCCTTACGGGACGGCGGCCGCCGAGGGCTCTTCAGAAAACCCGGAGTGGATTTCCGTTTGCTGCACGCGTGGGTGGGGGCGGGGAGTGTAACCCCGGGGGTGGAGGAACTGGGTCTTTCTCCGCCTGAAACGCTTCGCGCGGGAGTTTTAGCCTCGTTGTTGTGTGGGGGGAGAGGACTGTCAAACTGCTGCTGCCCTCCCCCGGGGGCTGGAGACTGGAATCTTTATCCCAATTCAATGTGGGGCGACGTGGGCTCCAGGATCCCCGAATCGAGGGGGCCCGAGCACAGCGGAGCTGGCGGCCCGGGCTCCTGGGTCCCGGCCCCTGGACGTCCAGCGCTCCCCTAGTCCGCGGCCCTGGCTCCTGTCCTCACTTCCTTCCCTTTTTGGCTCCTGCTCTCGGAGCGGGCGGACGTGGGGGGGAGCGGAAAGGGCGGGAGGGCCCGGGAGCTTGGCGGGGGGGTGCAAGGGGTTGCGGAAAAGCCGCGGAGGGGACTTGGTCCCGGGACTCGGTCGGGGGCCGGAGACCGACGGGAACAGCGGCCCGGGACCCGCGCTGCCCCCACCCCTCCCGAGCAGGTCAGAGCCAGAACACCCTACGACCCTGCCCGTTCCCGTACTCGTGACCCCCCTCATCCCCAAAATACACCAGGGCCCCCTATATTCCACCCCTTTGTGGCCCTCCCCCCCGCCCCATTCTCCCTGCAGGACTCCCATCCGGTTACCTAGACACCCACCCGCGTCCCTCCCCTCCCACCTCCCCCGCGCCCACCTGACTCTCCACCTGCCCCCCCTCCTGTCTCTCCCCAGGCGCCCCCATGGCCCGACCCCGCTGATTCCTTCACTCGGCCATGCTCCCGCGGCCCCTGCGGCTGCTTTGGGACACGAGCCCCCCCGGGGGAGTCGTGCTGAGCAGCTTCCGGAGCCGAGACCCCGAAGAGGGTGGGGGCCCAGGTGGCCGGGGCGTGGGCGGGGGGCAGGAGGAAGAGGAGGAGGAGGAAGAAGACGAGGTGAGATGTGGGTGGTGGGAGGCAGGGGGTCTGTATTTCAGAGACTCGCCATCTTTCTCTCCGCGTTTGTGTCCCTGCATTTCTTCCTCTCTGTCTCAGTTATTTCCGCACCTCTTGCTGGGTGTCTGCCCGTCTCCCCGCTGCGGGAAGTCCCGGCGTTTCTGTGGTTCTCTGTGGCAGTGTGACTCAGGAGCTGCCCGCAGGAACCTGCCCTGTTACTGCCTGGAGCGTCTGGCGGGCTGTCCTGCGGGTATCTGGCCCTCTCCACCTGTACCTGAGTGTGCTTACCTCTCTGGGCATTGTGTCTCGGTCCCTGTCTCCCCTTGTTTTTGTTTGGCGGGGAGGGGTTTGTTTCCACAGTAACCGGCTCCTCTGACTCTGGGATTGGGGAGGGAACCCTTCGATTTCGTGACCCCTCCCCCCTTTCCCGCCTGGCGCTGGGTGGAGGCGGGAAGCCAAGTTTCGTGGACCTTGGAGGGACAATCGGAGGTTGAGTGGGGGGTGGTCACCTGCTTTCCTCCGGGACCAATGGTGCGGGCCGGGCGCAGGATTTGGGCCCTCAGGAGGGGCCAGAAGTTGGATTTGGGGCCCCGAGGCCCTGGACTCCTGGGTCCAGAGGCTGGGTGAGGTCAGGGTGACTGGCAGGGCTGGTTTTTCGGGATCGGCTGGGGGAGGGGCTGAGGCCATGTGACTCTCTGAGTCTACCCCCCCACATCATCCCCACTTCCCCTTCTCCTTCCTGTACTGGGATCGGAGCCGCCACCTTGAGGGGGTCTCCGGGGCCGAGGGACCAGGGGGAAGGGGGCTGAGGGGAAGGACTCACTCTTTGGGCTTGGCCAGTTCCTGCGGGGGAGGGCGGAGCATGCGGCTGTGCCGGTGACTGAGGTTTCAGCTTCTCAAGGTCTCTGCCTCTGGCTTTCTGCCTCGCTCGCTTCCCTCTCCTCCCCTTTGCACCTTGCTTTTCTGCTGTGTTAGTTCAGCTCTGGGGGGAAGGGGCTTCGGCAATCTTCGGGATCAGGGTTCCTGCATTCCATCCACCCCCCCACTGCAACCCCCTCGACTCCACCGGGCCCTGAGGCGGCTTGGGGGGGGCTGTCTGGGCCCCAGTGGGGGAGACCTGGGGTCACCAGCCCCCCCCACCCCTCGCACTCGCTGGTACTGTCCCCCGCCGCCACAGGTGAGGGGTACAGAGGGAGGAGTAGGGCCTGGGGGTGAGGGCTGGGAACAGTGGGGGCTAGTGTGGGACTGTCTGACTTCCCGTTTCTTGCTCCTCCAGGCCCCTGTGTCTATCTGGGATGAGGAGGAGGATGGTGCCATCTTTACTGTCACAAGCCGCCAGTATGGGTCTCTTGATCCCTTGGTGAGATCATAACTTTGGCTTCTCACCTCTGACCCATCACTTCCCAGCTCCCCTTCCTCTGGCCGGCTTTCTGGCCAGAGTGCTAGGTTGGAGGTCTGGAGACCTAGACTCTGCTGTGTAACTTATATCAAGTGTTTTTGCCTCTCTGAATCTTAATATAATGAGCCTGGATCATCTCCTAGGTCTGGGATTTTCCCCAGAGATCTATGGGCAGAGTTGAAGAAAGGGTCGGTAACTGGTCCCCTGTCTCCCCAGGCCCCAATGCCTCCCCCGCGTTCCTCCCGAAGGCTCCGAGCTGGCACTCTGGAGGCCCTCGTCAGACACCTGCTGGATGCCCGGACATCAGGGGCTGACGTGACCTTCATGTCAGCCTTCCTGGCCACCCACCGGGCCTTCACCTCCACACCTGCCCTGCTAGGGCTTATGGCTGACAGGTCAGGGTCATAAGGACCAAGGGTCATGGATGTGTCTGGATTTTCTAAAGCCAGCGTATCCTACCAAAATAGTCAAAGCCACTGGGGGTTTGGAAAAAATGGACAGATAGAATCTCTTCCCCTCCCCAGGCTGGAGGCCCTTGAATCTAGTCCTAGTGATGAACTAGAGAGGACAAAAGGGTGAGTGACCCCCGATTCCTAACCTCACAGCCCCTCTGCCCAAGCTGCTGCTTGATGGCTGACCCCCGGCTGATTCTCCTCCCAGGGTAGCCATCTCTGTACTGTCAACCTGGCTGGCCTCTCACCCTGAGGATTTTGGCTCTGAGGTCAAGGGTCAGCTTGACCGGCTTGAGAGCTTCTTGCTTCGGACAGGGTATGCAGCAGGGGAGGGTGTCGGGGGGGGCAGCGCTGACCTCGTCCGCAACCTCCGGTCCCGGGTGGCCCTCCAGGCCCCCGACCTTCCTAAGCCCCTGGCCCTTCCCGGCGATCCCCCTGCTGACCCCACGGATGTCCTGGTGTTCCTCGCTGACCACTTGGCCGAACAGCTGACCCTGCTAGATGCGGTGAGACCCTGACCTCTGACCCCCACACCCCTTCCCCCTTACTAACCTTCCCTTGACTCCAGATCCTTTCCTTGCTTCCAACCCTTCCCCATCCAGCTCCCAGCCTCCTCTGTCCACCTAGTTGACCTTTCCCTGTTTCCCCTTGGTTGTTTTCCTTCAAGCCCTGTGCCCCTTTGGTTCCTTGGCTACCTCAGATCCTCATACCCCTGATATTAGAAGGCTGACTTGGCTTGACTATGAACTTTAACCTCTGACCTCTGCCCTGCAGGAGCTGTTTCTCAATCTGGTCCCCTCTCAGTGCCTGGGGGGCCTGTGGGGTCATAGAGACCGGCCGGGACATTCCCATCTCTGCCCATCTGTCCGAGCTACTGTCACACAGTTCAATAAGGTGGCAGGGGCAGTGGTCAGCTCTGTCCTGGGGGCTACCTCAACTGGAGAGGGGCCTGGGGAGGTGACTATACGGCCACTCCGTCCCCCCCAGAGGGCCCGGCTCCTGGAGAAGTGGATCCGCGTGGCAGAGGTAAGAGAGAGGATCAGCCCTGATGGCGACCGTGGTGTGGAGAGAGGTCCCACAACTGTGGCCTCCCTCTGTTCCCCCCACAGGAGTGCCGTCTGCTCCGAAACTTCTCTTCAGTTTATGCTGTTGTGTCGGCCCTGCAGTCCAGCCCCATCCATAGGCTTCGGGCAGCCTGGGGGGAAGCAGCCAGGTGGGGAGGATGGCCTGGGGGTGAAGCTGGGAAGGGGGAGATGAGCCAGGCCCATCCTCAATGCTGCCCTCCATCCCTCAGGGACAGTCTCAGAGTCTTCTCCAGCCTCTGCCAAATTTTCTCTGAGGAGGATAATTATTCTCAGAGCCGGGAGCTACTCCTGCAGGTGAGGCCCTGTTCCCTGGCATTCCCAGGCTTCCCTGCTCCCCATTCCCACCCCCATATCTCCTTGTTCTGTCACCACCAGGAGGTGAAGCTGCAGCCCTCTCTGGAACCAAATTCCAAGAAGGCCCCGAGGTCTGGCTCCCGGGGTGGGGTGAGTGACTAGTGTGGGGTGGTTGTGAAGGAGCGTATGGGGGAAGCCGTCTGAGGGATGGAAAGGGGAGGCACAGCAGGGTGAGGAGAATTAAATTTGTCCTCTGAGGCAATGGGATAGGAAAGTGGAGGGATGCAGAGTCCTCAGATCAGTGGTAGGGGCATCTGACTCTGACCTCTGACCTCAGGGTGTGGTCCCGTACCTTGGCACCTTCTTGAAGGACCTCGTGATGCTGGATGCGGCCTCCAAGGATGAGCTGGAGGTCAGTGGTGTGTGTTTGTGTGTGCATTGCAATGATGGAACCAGTGGGCCTCAGGGTCAGACAGACCTCCCTCCAGAAAGGGGTTGCAAGGCGTAAGCACTGAGTGCCAGGACTCTGGCTCCATCCAGATTGCCGGGTTCTGGTTCTGTTACTTTGGCAAGTTGCTTAACCTCTTTGTGCCTTTGCGATCTGTAAATGGGAAACTAGTGACAGTATCCACATCAGCCTGTTATTATGAGGGTTAAATGGATTAACATCTGGCGAGTACCTAGAACGTGCCTGAAATGTAAGCATATGTAGAGTTTGTTAAATAAACAAATACTGGGACCTGGGGCAATTTCCTTATCCTTGCTGAGCCCTAATTTTCTCATCTGTGAAGTGGACACAGTTTCTACCTGTGATGTTCAGTTTAAAGGGTAAGGTAGTGTGCTTAGGGCATGATAGATAGGAGGGGAAGGAGGGGCCGGGATGGAGGAGTCTGAGAGGCTGAGGAAAGTGTGTGTGAGTGGGATGTGGATGTGGTGTGTTTGGGAGAGGGAATATGCTCTCTCTGTGGCGGGGCTGGCACTCTTACTGCATCCCCATTATCTTTGCAGAACGGATACATCAATTTTGACAAGCGGAGGAAGGTGAGGGGAGTGCGTGGGTCAGATGTTAGGCATCCCTAGCCGTGTCCCAGGAAGGGGAGATGGAGGGGAGGGTCGGGGGTCCCTGAGTTTTGGCTCCTGCAGTCTGAGGGCTCCTTCCTAGGAGTTTGCTGTCCTTTCTGAGCTGCGGCGGCTCCAGAATGAATGTCGTGGCTATGACCTCCGACCCGACCCCGATATCCAGCAGTGGCTACAGGGGCTCCGGCCACTGACAGAGGCTCAGAGGTGACTGGCTGGGTGAGGTTGAGACTCTAGGGCTCAGGCTGGGTGTGGGGGTTGGTGTGCATTGTCCTGACCTCTGGCCATTGCTCCCCTCCCCAGCCATCGTGTGTCCTGTGAGGTAGAGCCATCTGGTACCAGTGACCCTCCTGCCCCACGCGTGCTTCGGCCAACATTGGTCATCTCGCAGTGGACAGAGTGAGAGAGTCAGTGGTTGGGGGGCAAGTCTCTTGGAGACTTGCCCTTCTTCCTCTGACCCCCCCAATCTCCTGCCACTCCAGGGTTCTGGGCTCTGTTGGGGGTCCCACCCCTCTTGTCTCCTGGGACCGGCCCAGTGTGGGGGGAGATGAGGTGCCTGGAACCCCTGCTCCTCTGCTGACCCGGCTGGCCCAGGTGAGCTCTGTTCTTGACCTCTGACCTTAACACTGACCCTGACTCTGTGAATGTTTCTTCCTTGACCTCCCTCCCTGCCTTCACGCCAGTCCCCCATGTTGTTTGCCCCCAGCACATGAAGTGGCCGTCTGTCTCATCTCTGGACACTGCCCTGGAAAGCACTCCATCCCTGCACAGTCCGGCTGACCCCAGCCACCTCTCTCCCCCAGCCTCCTCCCCTAGGCCTTCTCGAGGTCACCGCCGCTCAGCCTCCTGTGGCTCCCCGCTCAGTGGGGGTACAGGAGAAGGGGCCTCCAGGGGGACTGAATATGGGGGAGGGGGCTCTGGGCCAGAAGCCTCTGATTGCCGAATCATCCGCGTCCAGATGGAGCTGGGGGAAGATGGCAGTGTCTACAAGAGCATCTTGGTGAGGGAGCCATGGGCTACAAGGTGGGGGGTGAAGGATGGTGCCCTGTGGGCCAATGGATGTTGTCTTAGGTTTGAAGAGCCAAATGAGAGGATGATTCTAGTTTTAATTCTGACCCTTGGTTTTCGCAGCCGTTTTATTTTGAAGGCTACTTTGCATTAGCTGCTGCTCCTTGAACTTTTGGTGGCCATATTAGGTTTTCAGAACCAACAGCAGTTCCCTGCAGGGAAGCAGCCCTGTTTCACTGGGCACCGTGTGGGCTGGCCTGTGGAGGACAGGGAGCCACCACATTGGGTTTCCCTGGTCACTCACAAGTGCTGGACACGGGTAACCTTTTTTGGTGGGGATCAGTGGCTAGGGTTGAAAGGATGGGAAGTAGAGATCATCATGGCCAATTTATTGCTCTTTTGGTCTCCTGTCCTGCCAGGTGACAAGCCAGGACAAGGCTCCAAGTGTCATCAGTCGTGTCCTTAAGAAAAACAATCGTGATTCTGCGGTGGCTTCGGAGTATGAGCTAGTGCAGCTGCTACCAGGGGAGCGAGGTCAGAGGCCACGAGGGGAGGCAGACTCAGGAGAGTGGTGCCCACCAGTGGGAAAGCTTCCACATCTGGGTGGTTGTGGGGGGAACGACTGTTTGTGCTCGACATCCCCTCTCTGAACTTACAGAGCTGACCATCCCACCCTCGGCTAATGTTTTCTATGCTATGGATGGAGCTTCACACGATTTCCTCCTGCGGCAACGGCGAAGGCCCTCGACTACTACACTGGGCCTCACCGGCAGTCCCTCTGCCTCAGGAACTCCCCCAAGCGAGGGAGGAGGGGGTTCCTTTCCCAGGATCAAGGCCACAGGGAGGAAGATTGCCCGGGCACTGTTCTGAGGAGGAAGCCCTGTTGGCTCACAGAACTCATGGTGGCCATACCAGACGTGGGCAGGCATCCTGAATGATGGCAGTTGTGTCGCATTGGGAAGAAATCCAGAGAGGTGGCCAACCACCCTGGGGCAGTGAAGTGCTGCTAGTTTACCAGACAGCCGAGGGATCCAGCCCTGTGGGAACTGGTAATCTTGGTAACCAAGCTGGAAACCTGTGTACAGCTCCCCAATTTCTATGAATGCACGACACGCCTAGTACTGGGAAAGGGGGTCAATTTCTGATTCCTGGCCACATCCTAGCATGCCAAGGGCCAAGGCAAGGCCTAGAAGTAAGGGGAGAGGAAAAGCCTAGAGGCTCTGAGCCCTGGGGAGAGGGGATGGCACAAAGTAGGTTCTTGTAGGAGTTCCTATTCCTACTGTGGGGGTTCATGTCACTGTGACAACACTAAGATAATAAACCAAAACACTACCTGAATTCTACCCCCCTGTCCTTGCAGTGCATGGGAACCAGCTGCTGGGAGTAGGGGTGGGGAGTTGGCTGAAGGTAGACACCATGGAACAAGAAGGAGCCCAGTGTTTTCTATCCCCATGAAGAGCTAAAAGCGAGGTGCTGGTGAAAATGGTTTCCTCAGAATGGTTTATTTCTCCCCAGCAACCTCTCTACCCCGGTCCCTTTATTTGCTCTTAAATTTTTCTCCTCATTTGTCACAGACCCATGTCAAGTACTAGCCACCCAATTAAAGTGATCAGTATGAAGACCTCCCCTGGCTGCAAGTTTGTAAGAAACGATTTTTGGACAAAGAAATGGAAGAACAACTTTGTGGACAATGGACAAACTTAGAGAACATCACAAAGCATTACATGTTGGGATTTTAAATCAGTTTAAGCTACATTCAAACAAATTCTAGGAAGAGAGAGGCTAAAAAGAACTAAGAGAGACACCAGGACGATTTGGAAGATAACAAGTAACCATAGCAAGGAGGTGAAATGTGAAACCACATTTCAGCCTGGGGTTTCAGGTTGGAGAATTGTGAGTTCTTCAATTAAACTGCCTTTCCCAACAATTCCTGCGTTATAAATGCCCTTCCCATGTTTCCTAAAGACGTGTGCCAACAAAAATAAGAAGGAGTTAAGGGTTGTATACACAGGCAAGTAGTAAGTTTAAGAGAGATTTTAGTCTCAAGAAAGAAAAAACGATTACCACAGACAGATTCCAGTTGCAAGAATCTGGACCTGTGGGAGTAATGGTGACATATATATAAGGTGGAAGGGGCGGGGGGAATGGATGGAGAATTACCACAGAAGTGTCTGGTCAGGAAACAGCTAGAAGTTTTCACATTTTATTAGCTACAGTATAGATCCTAGAGCTGCCTCGTTCCCTCCCCTCCCCGCCCCCCCACCACAGGGTCAGGCCTTCCCAGGAGCCCCTGCCTTTGCTGCCTGGGCCCTCTGGAACTCCTGCTGCAGCTGGGCAAGGGTCTCCCTCTGTTGCTCTGACTGCCGCTCGAGGTCCCGGAGCTGGGATTCATATCGCTTACTGAGGAGAGGCAAGAGAGACAAAAAAGCAAATGAGAAATGAGGGAGACTTACTATTGAGTGTGCTGCAGACAAGAAAGAGATTGGTGGAAAACTTGAGATCTAGGGGAAGGACAAGAAGCAGGATTAAAAGGGAAGGGGTTGGAGGAACTGGACAAGTGGGGGCTACCCTGAAGAGCTACTCTACAATGGCTCCTCAACACCCCTACTCCAACAGTGTCAGATGCATCACAGGGCAGTGGAACAAAGACTCACATTTCAGCTGTGATGTAGTCCAGCCTCTTCCCCACTGTGGCCCGAGCCTCCCCCAGCTCCTGTTTGACCAGCACAGGACCCAGAAGTTTAAAGACCACGTTGGACCCATCCAGCAGGGCCAGTTCCTGATGGAAGGATGGGATATATATGATCACAATCACTGCCACTACAGGTCCCTCCTCGCCCCACAAATCCCAGTCTCTCACCTCCTTCACGATATTATTTTCTGTTAGTTGTGCCTCAAGTTTCTGCCGCCCTGACATGGATTTACTCAAGTCTGGGGGGTGGGAAGAAGGACTTGATTAGAGACATCAAATGTGTCCCCTGATCCCTCCCAATCAGAAGAAAATGGAGCTGAGGAAGTGGACAAGGATGGGGACGGCGGGTCAGTGGGTGGAGAAGGGGCTGCACGCGGGGGCCTGGGTGGGGCAGAAAACATCTTGGGATGGCTTTGGGTTCTGAGCGAGTGAGGGGATTGGGGCGAGGCTGCACCGACGCTGCCCCCTTACCCTTCTGTAGCTGTTGGTATTTCTCCACTTCTCCCTGTAGCTTCTTCTGGATCAGCTCAGCCATGGCGGGGACGGAAGCCTGCGGCGAGCGGGCGAGGGGCACTGGGTCTCACACTCTGGAACGTGCCCGAGCTCCCTTTCTGGCCGGGCCTGCGGAAATGACAGCGCTCTTCAGAGGCAGCCTGTCGGGGCACCGCAGCCTCTCTCCGTCCCGGATATCGACTCTACCCCGGCCCCACGAGGTGCCTGGCGAAACGAGACCCCAGACCCCTCAACCGACACCCTACCCTACTCACGTTCTCCCTTCAGTACTACTAAACCCGGAAGCAAACAAAGAATGCTGGGAAAAGACGGCGCCGGAAGCTGTCCTCTGACGTATGCCGGGAACTGTAGTTTTGACATGTTTAATGACTGGTGTTCTGCTAAAAAGACTGGACTCGGAAGGTTTTAGGCAAGATGGGGAAACGAAGCTGGAAAAAGAAACTGCCCCGTTCCTTGTGCCCTGGCCCCGGATTTGCCTTTCTTTCATTACTTGGGCAAAACCTGCCGCTCTGGTGGGCGAGGGCGAGGCTGCCCCGCACCTCCCTGAGGAGCGCGCCCTCACTCAAGATGGCGCCTGGGAGGCTTCAGACCCGGTGTGTGCTGATTGGATGACGGCCAGAGGACTTCCGGGAGTTTTCAAGCGCACTGTTGGGGACAGCTGAGAGAAGTTTGCACGTGGGTCGTGGTTCAGGTGGGCTAGATGGAGACGGCCCCCAAGCCAGGAAGGGGTGTCCCGCCCAAGAAGGACAAACTTCAGGCAAAGAAGAAGGTAGAGACCTCCCTGGGGTGAAAGGGAAATTTTTAACTGCGGGGTCGGAGGGGCGGGGCGCGGGCAGCGGAGTATCAGGGATCCTGATCTGCCGGTAGAAACCGCGGCGATACTGGGAGGAAGAGACCACTCCGACAGCTGCCGCAGCCTCTCCAGGCCCCCCTCAGAACAAGAAGAGGAATCGAGAGCTCCGCCCCCAGAGGCTAAAGAATAATTACATCACAAAGAAGTCTCGGATCTCCAAGAAGCCCCAGGTCCCGAAGAAACCCCGAGAACGGAGGAATCCGGAGCCTCAGCGGAGCTTGTCCGGGGTGAGCCTGGGACCGGATCGGGTGGCGGGGCAAGTCGCCTTGGGCTTTGAGGTTGCGAGGGTTGGGGTTAACCCGAGCCTCGAGCCTGTCTGTTATTTGCCTCCTCCCTGCCCCAGGCGCAGGATCCATTTCCAGGCCCCGCCCCCGTGCCTGTGGAGGTGGCTCAGAAGTTCTGTCGCATTGACAAATCCAAAAAGGTGAGGAC